CAGGCACACAAGTTTCTGCAAGTCCTCTGCCATTTCAGGTGGGATTTCTTCTTTCCCTCTCCTTTTTGCTCTTAGCTGTGCCTGGCCAACTCAGACAGATGGCTAGCACCAAACTGCATGCCGAGGGCTCATTTCATAACTTAGACTGTTTTCTGGGGTAAATTCTGCAGCACAGTCAGAGTTGGGCCACCCAAGTTAGCTGCTAGTAAACCCCCTTTCTGTCCCTCATCCTAGTCACTCATTTGAGCTATAATGTTGAATTGAGCAAAATAAGTGTCCCAGTGAGTTTTTTTCTCAAAGATAATGGGCTTTTGCTTTATCTGAGCTGGGACAGCCAGACCCCTCTCTCTCTGGGCCTCTGCTGTGTACAAATGGGGTAGAAAACTGTTGTAAATGTCTGGTCTTATCCAAGTTCTCTGGCTGGTTCAATTCCTCATTCAGGCAGCTGCCTTCCACTGTGGTCTGACCCTTTGATTTCCTTCTGGAGTTGATTTTCAGCTCCTTAAGTCCTTTCTGCAACTCATCTTGGTTAGCAAGTTCCAGATTGCCTAAAGCTTGCTTGGTCTCCACTATTTCATGGAAAACCTTCTGGTCTATAGCAGTGAGATTGCTGGTCACCTCATCAATCTGTTTTACCATTCCAGACCAGGAGTTTTGCAGCTAGGCTTCCCAATCTATGCAGATACTTTATAGTTGTTGATCCAGAGATTTCACCTCTGCCTGCAAGTCATCTCTCAGCCCTTTCTGGCAAACCTCCAGCTATACTTTAATGCCTTTTGTGAAGTCTCCAGCTCCTCTTTTAGGTCTTGTTTTAAATCACACTGGTCATTTTTCATTTCTACAAGCACCTCCATTTTCAGTTCTCACCTTGAAAACTGAACCCCACTGCTAACATCAATGTTGCCCCTTTTTTGACCCGAGTGGCTAATCAAAATTTGGGGTCCTAGAGATGGTCCAGTTAGGAGGAGAAATTGGTGGAGTCTGGTATTTTCTCTGATGTAATCTTGTTTGTTTACATGGAATGTACAAACTCTTGCTTCTGCAAATGCAGCAGGAACCAAAACAAAAAGAACCAATTTCTTTGCTTACAGCCCTAAGCCACTTTAGCAAGCACCAAACCCAAAAACTCTCTCTAGCTTCTTCCGGCATCATATACTGTACTCACAGTCTGCTGCTTTACTTTCTTCCTCCTCAGTCTCTCTCAGCTTTTGTGTTCCCTCACTCACTCACACATCCACTGGGTATTGTGACCATGAGTGGATGTGTAACTCCCTACCCACCTGGTACTAGTTTCTGAGCAGACTCTGTAAGGGCCTGTTTTAGGTGTGGCCCTTTGAGTGTCTCTTACAACAATCTTAAGCAAAAGGAGCATTCACACTGCAGTTTTAATGAGGTTTTAACACTACCCATAACAAGGTTTCACCCAGCTCTTAACACTGCAATGGAAATACATCACACAAGAATGGCTATAGAAGAGAAATTAAATATTGCAATAAGGGGAAAAGGTTCAAAAATACTAATGAAACATATGAATGAAGACTTAGAAACCATTACAATCAGATATGAGAACATTCACTCTTTAGTTTAACGGAAGTTTGGGGGATTTGCTAAATGGATAATTAAGAACAAACTATTTCATTTGACAGTAGTGTATATCTTGGAGTTGTCTGCTTGGCCAAATGCAAAATGGTTTTGTTAAAATGAGAATACAAATTCAAAATAATGTAATGATAGGCATTCTTCTAATAACATTTTAAAGTTTGGCTAGAGAGGGTTCTGTTTCCCATCTTTTCTTTTTATCCTTTATGTTTTTCTTTTTATGTTTTATGTTTCTTCCTTGTCCAGAAAACCTTCACAGGTATATAATGTGCCAGGTACTCTGACCCTTAAATGTTGAAAATACACTGCCTGACATATGAAGGAGTAATATTCTTAACTATGGGATGTCATTTTGTTCCTGTACAATCCAAGTTCTTAATTCCTGTATAGCGTTAACATTTGTCAGTTTATAGCCTTTGCAGTGGTTCTCAAACTTCTCCAAACTGAAATCTCCCTCCCATCTAACTGGAAAGGGCAGGACAGTTGCATTCCCCAAGATTGAATATATATGTCTATGGGTATATCTTCACTGGCACTGGGAGCAAGCCTCACAGCCTGGGTAGAGACTCATGCTAGTGCGGCTTGAGCTAGCACACTAAAAATATCAATGAAGACATTCAACTTGGGCAGATGCTCAGGTTCTCATGCCCACCTGACCACCCTAGGTTTGAGAGCCCAAGCTCCAGTCCAAGCCACAATGTCCATACTGCTATTTTTAGCACATTAGTTCAAGTCCTGCTAGCACAAGTCTATCTACCCAGCCTGGGAGGCTGGCATCTAGCTGCCGCACTGACATACCATTCATTAGAGCATTCACAGGTTCTGCTTAGTACTAAAACACGAAATTTAGGATCTGCTTATTTTGAATGTTCTAAAGGGCATTAATAATAACAACAATGGAAATATTTATGAAAAGTTAAGGGAAAGAGAGAGAAAGCAAAACAGCCAAATGCATTATATTTCAGCCTCTAAAAGTGGAACATCAACTGAACAATATAAAATTGTCATAAGCTTCCTGTGTAAGTGAAAATATATCTCACTACTTGACAATTAATGGAATTATGCAACCAGATTAAAAACCATTGTGGAACAGTTGGAGTTGGTGGTTTTTCCAGGAAGTATTGAAACTATTAGTCTTGGTAAATTCATTCTAGTTTGAGTTATAGATTTAGTTCTTTTACAGTCAACTGTCTATTAATGAAAATTAGGTTTCTCCTTTCCTATTTTTTCAAGAGACCTACCATACTTACTTTTCTTCGTTCTTTCTTTACTTTCTAAGTATTGTAATTTCTCTGGCTTGATCTGTTCATTTTATGTAATGTTTTGGTGTTCTGGGCCTCTAAGTTCAAGACAGTGTTCTACTCCTAAGGAGCACAAAAAAGTCACAATTTTGCATAATATATCCAAATATTTGCTTGGCAATTTGCCCATGGCCTTAAAGTCCATCGTTAAAGAGACACGTATCAAGACAGTTAGGCTCAAGTGCATGTTTAGGCTCAAACTCTATTTATTACACTCTATCTCTTTGTCTAAAAATCTTTGCATGTTTCATTTAAAAAACAGCCACCAATCATTGCAGCAGTGAGCAATTTAAAAAGCTATCAAAATTGTACAGGTTCTGGGTATACATTTATGTACATGCACTGTTAGAAATGGAGGACTCCCTGGAAGAGGAAATGTATTCACCTGAAATCACCATACCATTTGGCTCCCCACTATCAGATACCTATACAATTGTGAAATAGGATTTTCCACAGCCTAACGTTTAGATGAGTCCTTTTGTTAGGTATGAATGCCTGATCAGTGATCCTAAAATAATTTCTGCAAAACATAAAGCCCTTTCTAATGATAGTAGGATAATCACAGTTCTGTGTTTGGTTTCAAGTATTTCGCACAATACACAGGATAATGCTTGTTTGACTGCTTGCAGGTATTTAGAGCTCAACTGCTTGGAAAGGAATAATTATTACTTACACTGTGAACTGATTTGCATCACTTGATTATATTTTGGAGGGCAGGGAGTTTTTTTCTAAGTGTAGTTATTTGTAATAAATCTCTGACAAACAGTCACTATAGTGATGTCTCAAAACAAACAAATAACAGCTAATAATGAAAAACCTATATCAAAAACAAATTACTGATACTTTCCATGACTAATTCAGACCTGTCATCCTGCTTGTCATTTTTAAAATTAGGTCAGTCAACAATTAATTTTAAATTGCAAACATAACAATGAAAGGAAAGACAAATGCCAGATTGGTAAATCTGGCTATCCTGTTGAAAAATTAAACTTAATTTTTAAAAGTATCACAGAAACCACAACTTTCCGAAATAAAATCAGGACTGTGCCATCAAACCTGGATTTTTACAATACCATGAAAGAGTTTTTATTTTAATCATTTTCATATCAGCTATTTTCTGAATGAAAAATACTCTAACATCTGTGAACCTGGATTTCGAAAAAGGAACTGAAGTGTTCCATTATGTCATTTACTTCAAATGCAGAAGAGTCAGGACAGGATTTCAAAACTTTAACACAATATATTACTATAAAGGAGAATAGGGAGAAGGTCGGCTAAACATTATGGTCGATGATCTATTAGAAAAAAAACAAGGACAAATAAATTTACCAATTTAGTAACTATGCCCTCAAAAAAAATCCCTTTGTTGTGTAGTAGTGATACTCTACAATCAAAAGAGGTTGCTACAATGACATGTATTTATAGTTATCAATATATTATTTCAGAAACACTAAGCTGAGGAAGCTACAGTCCATGGGGAGGATAGGAAATAATTTATTGCATATGTGAAGATTAGAGGAGTCTGAGAGTTACAACACCTATGTATGCGTACACTGAATACTCTCTCTCTTGGGAATGATAAGGTCTCCTCCTCCTATAAAAGTGAAAATATTCCTATACACTATGAATGCCCCAGTGGATGGCAGTGCACAGAAGTCAATCAGTGCTGAGTGACAGGGTTAATGTTTCACTTTTCACAGGAATCCACTGGGTTCTATGAGATGTTACTCATAGCAGGCTCATGTTTTTAGATTAAATCCATGTGTGTAACGTAAGTAGGTCAACTCTTCCTCAGGTGATATTGATATGAATACTTGTTACTATAATGAAATTGCCATTAGTAGACAAAGAAATTACTTCCCTGAATTTAATTAAACAGAAAAGTAGAGTCAGCTTGGGTATTTAACGTCACCTGTCAAAGATTTCCAGCTCAACTGTGTAGACCCAGGAAGTTCAAATAAGTCGTTTGACTACTTATCTGAACCAAACCTCTAAAACTTTTGGGATTTTCCCAACATTACTGAAAACTCTCCATACATTTATGTGTGAATATATCCCTTACTGTGCAGGGTTTCAATGTTGAATATGCATTATACTCACAGCATACTGAAATTTTTCATTATGTTCAGGATCATTGGCTTTCACCCTCCGCTCCTCCTCTGAAAAAAAGAAAAAAAAAACATAGTTTAGGAGACCAAACAGAGCTAAGAACAAAAGTATAAGAGATCAGTATATAAACAACACTTTGTTTACTTTTAGGAGCATTCAATGCAGCAAAAAAATTCTTTATTGAAGTCCCAATATAGTTCAACTTTTAAAAACCTAATCTTCAGACACTTTAGATAGCTCAATATTAGAGAGAGAGATTTTTTATTTTGCAGTTTCCAGGAATTACTGTTTCAAATTTAATCCCAGATCTCTCCGTGCCTGCAGTGCTACAAACCAAAATGTGCAGCCAAGTAATTTTAATCTCACAAAATCCAATAATCCTCTCACAGAGAAAGTGACAGTGCATTCTGCTGTCATGTAAAAGCATATGCTTAATACGCCACATTAGTATTCTCATGCTTGACTAAAGAGGCAAAATGCACTGGTGAGATTATGGGCTAAATTATGTCGCTTCCTTAAGGAGTTCACTTAACAGAAGCACAGGAAGCCCCTCTCCCAACACAGGAGGCAACCATAAAATGGCTTTCTGATTATCTGACTGCAAGGGGTGGAGAGTGATATTATATACACACCCCAGAAGGGGTCATGTCTAAGTAACTAGGAACATCACCAGTGCATTCTTCCCTGTCCACTGGCTACAACCAGAAGGGCAGTGAGGGAGGTCAGGGAGAGAGGAAGAGATTTTAAGGAGTATATTTTATTTTTAAGAGGTATAACAAGTTGGTGCTGAGCATGTTTCCCCCTGCATTGCAGGGACAATATGACAGATTGTACTCTACTCTACCAGATTAATTTTATAACCACATGCTAATTTATTGAGCAGACCATTATTCAAATGATAATAGATAAAAGATATAATAGTTTAAATGTAAGCAAATCATTTCACTCCTGTTAGAACAAGTTCAGTATATAATACCTATTTTCTAGATGTCAGATAGTTAATGGTTTCACCCTATGTATTTCCACTGAAAACTCCAGGAAATAGAGGTTTGTGTAATTATTATAATTTTCCATCTACAGGAAAGTCTTCAATATGCATATCAGTCCAACGGTTGGATAAACTCATATTCACTAGATTTCATACTCAATGATAGATAATTATGATTTGTTTCCTGATACTTTCTACCTTTATTATTTGTATTACTGACACCCCCATAGTTCATCAGGAGGATTGAAACCTTTAGATGCACCACACAAACCTCTGCCACTTGATCTAATGGCATAACCTATAGCAGTCATAGGTTGTCATCTTCTATGTGGACCAGCCCTAGAGGGCAATGAGGCACAAACTATGCTCATGGGTTTCACAGATATCGGAGGACAGCAGTGGGATGGTGAGACACAGGAATCTTGGGTTCCACCCCAAGCTCTGGAGGAAAGCGTGCTCTAGTTGGCAGATTCTTCTGCCCATTCTCAGTGGGGAGGTCACTGAGCACTGGAGAGACAAACTCCCTGGTCTCAGTTCTAGTGCCCAGCCCCACCTTGGCCTAGAGCAGCTGGAGGCAGCAATAACAGAGGAAGTCCAGCTTTACCACTTTTTCCCTGAGCAGGAGCATGCTCAGTCACTCTGTGGGAATTATGCATGCACAATCCAGCCAGAGGTAGAAGCCGTGAGGGGATGGAGCATGCTCAGTTGCTCTGGGAGGATGGCACACACAGTCTGTTCAGCACTAGGAGTTGTGAGAGGCTCAAGCACATTCAATGAGGATGGACTCTTCAGAGATTTAAGATGTTGAAATCAAAGAAGTCTCTACTAATCACATGCAAAATAGGATCTTTCAAAACCTTACAGTTTAGCCAAATTTGAGCAGATTTTTAACAGCAATGGCAAAGGGCACATCACTGACACAAAGGCTACCCCATGCCAAATTTTAAGTCTCAGCTTCAAAACATTTAAAAGAAAAGACTACTAGGATTTTTTTAACATGGGCAAAACAATGTGTCCTTCCTTAACCACTTCCTCACAAACAGCTCAACTATTTTGGCTGACATTTTCAAAACAAAATTCAGCCTGAGGCAAACACCAAGCATGGAAAATGTCAACCCAAACAATTAAAGTTTGGCAAAGTTAGAGGCAACTGAAAACAGGGTCTTACAATGGGAAGAGTCAGGCAACCTTAATAATAGGCAGCACTACCAGCCCTACCTATAATTTAAGGTGTTACAACTCATTATATTAGGTTAGTTATTCTTCTCACTGTAACAGGATGATATTGTGATACTGGCAAACAAGGTGCCAGCTCATGCCAAAATCACCAGGTCTCAACTGAACACTAACAAATACATAGCTGGAATCAATCTGACTCATCTGTGTGTTAGTATTGTTAAAAACAGGTATAAGAATTATGAGAATATGCTTAGTGTTTAGACTTTATTGGATGCTTGTGAATTGCTGCATGCATTAATCTCACACATAACATCAGTATCCCATATTCTAAGGTAATATTTGAGCAGTTGTATTGTAAGCTTCTGTGACTATCAGACAGGAGACACACATTAATTAGTGTGAACTGCTGATCTGTAACAGAAGGAGTTACATCCTTCCCAACAGGAAAGGTCCATCGACATCAGATGGACTATTGTGGGATGTTAAAGAGTACAAAGGACTTTGGGTTAGCCCTAAAGGACATCTAGAGCTTGCTTATTAAAGAAGCTTCTATTACCTTTTGAAACTTAAGGTTGTAACTGATTTGTATATATATGTTTACCTGCTTTAACCTTGTAAATAAGTCTCTTATTTTCTTTTCCTATTTGTGACAGGGTGCTAAGCAGTCTGTCACTCCAGCTCCAATTAAGGGAGGTGAATTGGAGCTCGGTAGACCACCTGGCCCTGATTGGGGAAGCTTAAACAGCTGCTGCCTCATCAGGCTGAGGCTGGATAAGAGCCCCAGGGGAAGGAAGCCAGGGCGGAGCTGGAAAGAGGAAAGGCAGTGAGGAGAAGCAGAAAGAGATAGCTTGCCCCCCCTCTCCTGCCAGTGGACTGCAAGAAGGGGACTACTTGTATGGTGGAAAGGTGGTGGGAGAACAGTCTGTAAATAAAAGCACCAGGTGGGTACTGCACCAAAAGGTCTCTGTGTGACTTTCTCAGCCCAGCGGGGGCAGGAGCCAGGAGGGCCCTGCAGGGATGCTGCTACACTATTTAATAAATCTTCATATATTTTATTATAGGACAGGCTACAAGCATTGTCTTTGGTGTGAGATCTAAGGTGCAATTGACCTGGGTTAAGTGACTGGTCCTTTGGGATTGGGAGTAACCTGAATATTACTGTGATTCTATCACAAAGGTAGACTCACCTGGCTGGTGAGACAGATCAGAATACTCAAGGAGCCTGTCTGTGACTCCATGTTACGGCTGTTATAGTGTCTGAGGAGTTTACACTTGATAACTGGTTGGCAAAATCTAAGTATAGAACTCACAGCCCATTTGAGGTTTGTGCCCTGCTTCCTAACAGTCTATTCAGACACTCACCAGCAGCATTACAGATATGCTACATTTTTAAAAAAAACAATAACAAAGTTCTGTCATATTGGACAGATGCTTCTTTGTACTGTTGATAATCTGACTCAAATGATTTCATCTCCCACAGGATGCCCACAACAGCCAATTAACTTCTTCTGGTCACAACTGGTTTATCATTAACAGAAGTGTTTCTAGCTCAATACATTTCTTTAATCAGCATAGACACTTTTAAAAAAACATGCCAAGACCTGTATATAAGAGAAAAGTAACCTCAGCTCTAAAAGGAAACAAAAAAATGTAGATTAACACACTTTAATCCAATAACAAAGCAAATATATGGGTACAATCTGAAGAAAGTTGAAACTGTCTAAACTTAATTACTAAACCAAGATCAAACGGAATAGTCCTAACCTTTAGCCAATGTATTTTAAAGACAGACAAAACAAGACTTCCTCCACGAGAGAAACTAATTAATAATGTATCAATAAAAAAATTAAACCTCTGAGGGATATGCTTCCACAGCCCATACAATAGAAGTAGCATTAAGCTTCCCTGTGCACTAGAACAGGGAACAGTATAACCTCAGAGTTATGACGACCTTAAAAATGGAGGTCGTTCATTAACTCTGAAACGTTCGTAACTCTGAACAAAACATTATGGGTGTTCTTTCAAAAGTTTGCAACTGAACATTGACTTAATACAGCTTTGAAACTTTACTACGCAGAAGAAAAATGCTGCTTTTAATCATCTTACTTTAAATGAAACAAGCACAGAAAACAGTTTCCTTACCATGTCAAATCTTTTTTTTTAAACTTTCCCTTTATTTTTTTAGTAGTTTACATTTAACATAGCACTGAACTTGCTTTTCTTTTTGTCTCTGCTGCTGCCTGATTGCGTACTTCCCGTTCTAAATGAGGTGTGTGGTTGACCTGTCAGATCATAACTCTGGTGTTCGTAGCTCTGAGGTTCTACTGTATACCTATTAGTTCAGTCTGAGAGTTTTCAATTAGAAAAATGACATTTCTACATCCTGAACGGCTCTACAGGCTGCAGAGCTTTGCTAGTCTGGGGATATTAATTTGTATGGTATGCAGAAAAAGAAACCTATCTAGCTGAGGATAGGTCAATTTAAAATGCAAAAAGACACAGCACACTTCACCATTACACTTCCGACAGAACAAGAACATTTTGGTCTTTGTTTTACATCCTACTAATTCCCTTAAGCTCCTTCGAAAGTCCTAGCCTAAATCTTTGAGTTCTTAGTCTACATTTTGCATGACAAGAAATATACAAAGCCCAGAACACAGGACAAAAAATATAATGCAATTATATATTTGAATAAATAGGACCAAGCCAACCACTATAAAAATAACAAAGAAACATGCAGTAATTACCGTCTTCCATCTGTGTGAAAAATCATTTCTACCTTATACTTTATTCTTGCTATGAAGAGTTATAAATCCTCTTCAGGACAGTAACATCTGGAGACATTTTCCAGACATTTCCTTAGATATAGTCATACTTTCAAAG